GGCGCCGCGTGGGCCGGGAAGGGGAAGTTCGAGGCAAAGACCAGGGAGTGGATCGTTAAAGGGGCCCTGGCACACACACATACACACACACAACATAAATACACACAAATAAAAAGGATTCCCCATATTTTCTCATATGTTCTGGGTTTCTGTCTTCTCTCCCACTGCCCATATTTCCCCATATTTTTCTGGGCATATCATACTTAAGGACCAGATCCCAGAAATAATTGCGAGCACCCAGAAAAGTATCGAAGCGGTGTCGAACGAGTATCGCCTCCCAGGGCCCGGCACGTGCAAACCCTCAGGTTTCGGTACTTTCTCTTTGCACGCAACTCTTTTTGGTGATCAAGGCTAAAGCAGCTTGGAACATCATAAGACCAGGGGGTGGATCGCAAAGAACAGGCTGCGCGGACGCGCTTCACTTGACAGGGGCAGAAGCACGAGGTTCGGCGACATTCGAGCACAGCAGGCCGACCTAGCCAGAAGCTGACTGTGTCGACGGCTCAGACGCATCCAGAGCTCGAGCTTGAGAGCTGGGACATCAGCACGGCGTTCTTGCAGGGCCTCAGTTTCGACGAAATCCACCGTCGCTCCAGGGAGCTCAAGATCAACAGCGAGACGGTGCGGAAGGTGTACCTGCTTCCGCCGAGCAACTTGTGGATATTGCTGGACATGCTACCCTGCAGCGAGATCCACGTGAAAAAGTGGGGTATCGAGATGTTCATCTTGGCGCTGCTCAAGCCCATGTATGGACTGGTTGACGCACCGCACTTATGGCGGACGGCTCTCTCGTCATACCTGGTAGGAGCGCTACGCTCATTAGGAGAAGATTGCGATTGACGGAGTTGCAGCGGCACTCGCAGTACATGTGGACGATCTGTTGTTGGCAGCCCGGTCGAGAACTCAATCATACCTCATCAAGCTTCTACAGGCTAAGTTCGGATCGGTGAAAAGACAACGACTACCATTCACACATAATGGAGCACAGTATTCGAGACTGGTAAATGGAACGATATCGTTTCAACAAGTTGACCACATTCAGAATATGTTCTTCTTGTGTGAGGTTCCCGATGGGGACGACGAGAAGATGATAAATGGTCAGCATGCTCATGGTTTCGGAAGCATGCTTACCTCAATGCTGCTCCTACGCCTGTGTAACATTCATATCATGGCGGAGGTAACGCAGTTGCAAGGATTCAACGGCGATCCGAATATCGTTCAGCTCAAGCATGCGAACGCTTCGCTGAAGCGAGCTCAACAAGATACACCGTTGGTTGGATTACATGTTCCTTTGATGACACCCCCTTCTGCTTGAGAGCGATGGGAGACACCAATTACACGACAAAGACCTCGGCTTATCCGCAGGAAGGCCAGCTGGTGTTGATGATGGAAAATCGGGAGCTGACGATCAATCAGGATCATACTTAGACACCGGCAAGTGTGGCAACTATCCTAGGAAGGTGTCACATCCTCATGGCCGTCAGCAGCAAGGCGAAGAAGGTAGCTAAGTCGACCTCAATGGGCGAGACGAGCTGTGAACTGGCAATCGTGAGTGGAGCTCAGATGGGCGAGATGCGTCTGACCGAGATGGTAAATTCGCTCAAGGGCACAACCTGTCAGAAGATCGCAGGGCTCATATATATATATATATATATAAGAGAGAGAGAGAGAGAGAGAGAGAGAGAGAGAGAGAGAGACCGTGATCCACCGCCGCTTTACTGTGGAAAATTGCCCCCCTCTTCCTCCGGAACCCGGGGTCCCCCCCCCCTCCGAAAATCCCCCCCCCCCCTGCTGGACCCCCCCTCCTCCCCTCCCCCAGTAAACCCCCCCGCTCCCCTAACCCCTCCCCCCCCCCTCCCCCTCGAAAAACCGGGGGGGTCACTACCAGTTCGAACCCCCCCCCCTCCTCGAAAACCGGGGGGGGTCACTACCGGTTCGAACCCCCCCCCCCCCCCTCGAAAACCGAGGGGGGGTGCGGACAGTGGTGGGGACGGTGGTGGTGGGGACAGTGGTGAGGGGACAGCGGGACAGTGGTGGGGACAGTGGGACAGTGGTGGGGACGGTAGTGGTGGGGACAGTGGTGAGGACAATGGTGGGAACAGTGGGGACAGTGGACAGTGGTGGGGACGGTGGTGGTGGGGACGGTTCGAACCGGGAGTGACCCCCCCTCCTTTTCATGATGAACTGGGGGGGGGGAGGGGTTCGAACCGGTAGTGACCCGCCCGGTTTTCCGGAGGGGGGGGGGGTTCGAACCTGTATAGTGACCCCCCCCGGTTTTCCGCCAGCAGCGGTAGAACACGCTCTTTCATATATATATATATATATATATATATATATATACATATATATATATTTAAAAAATGAATCTGAATGGACCGTAGATCGTGCCGACCGACCACCTGACAGACTGCGAGGACATGCTCGAGCTAATCATCGGCGTGAAAGAGGTTCCTCAAGACAAGCAGCAGAGACTGGCAGTCACGGCTCTGAGAGAGAGAGAGAGACAAGAAGGAAAGAATGCAGGCGAGCCCACAGTCGAATCGATAAGTCGGATCGGCGATCGAAATCAATTGGATTAGAGGATATCGGCAGCCGAGTCGGGGAAAGTCGAATCGGCGGAAATCGGCAGTGTGGTAGGCATCCATTGGAGAATCGGAGCCCAAATCGGAATCCGAAGTCGAATCAATTGGAGTCGGAAGCAATCGAAATCGAAACGAATCGAATCGGAGGAATCGAAACGAGCCCTGAGAATGTCTCGCAGAGTACGATTCAGAATGCACAGTTCCACGGCCGAGATGATCGCCGACGCGCTCACGAGACCAGGGGTGTTTCCCCAACGGGTGCTCTTGTTGACAACAAGAGTGGCGATATTCACGGCAACAAGAGGGTGATCACCTGCAAACGTTTAGCGCATCGACCTGATACTTTCACGTAGAGCGACCTCGAGAACATAGTACGTTTCGGACTTCTTCTTCTTCTTCTTCTCTGAGGATATGGCTTACAGCTTCTCATTATCAAACTTTGGTGCTATTAAGACAGAGATGTTGGATGCATGTTGTCACTATGACGTTCATTCCCCAATCAGAGCTTGCTTCTGTAGGGGTCCTAGCGGATATTCCCCAATCAGAGCTTGCCTCTGTAGGGATCCTAGCGGATATAAAGCTGAGGTGAGGTGGGCGGCCGATTTCCTAGGCCGGGGCCGGGTGCCCGGGTGCCCAGGGGTGCCCGGGGGTGCCCGGGTGCCAAGGTGTGTGGCCGATTTCGGTGGCCGGGGCCGGGTGCCCGGGTGCCCGGGGGTGCCCGGGGGTGCCCGGGTGCCCAGGGGTGCCCGTGTGCCCGGGGTGCCCAGAAGTGCCCGGGGGTGCCTAGCCCAATAGCCCTATATCCCTATAGCCCAATAGCCCAATCGCCCTGTATCCCTATAGCACTATAGCCCTATAGCCGTATAGCCCTATAGCCCCAATAGCCCCATAGCCCCATAGCCCTATAGCCCTATAGCCCTATAGCCCTACAGCCCTATAGCCCTGTAGCCCTATGGTCCTAAAGCCCTATAGCCGTATATAGCCCTATAGCCCTATAGCCCGAATAGCCTTATAGCCCTTAGCCCTATAGCCCTACAGCCCTGTAGCCCTATAGCCCCATAGCCCTAAAGGCTTCTAGCCCTATATCCCTATGGCCACATCGCCCTATAGCCCTAGCCCAATAGCCCTAAAGCCCTAAAGCCCCATAGCCCCCCCAAATTCTGATTGGGGTTTTTCTCTGGTATCATAAGGCTGAGGTGAGGTCGGCGGCCGATTTCGGTGGCCGGGGCCGGGTGCCCGGGTGCCCGGGGGTGCCCGGGTGGCCGATTTCGGTGGCCGGGCCCAGGTGCCCGGGTGCCCGTGTGCCCGGGGGTGCCCGGGTGCCCGGGGGTGCCCGGGTGCCCGGGGGTGCCCAATAGCCCAATAGCCCAGTAGCCCTATAGCCCTGTAGCCCTATAGCCGTATAGCCCTATAGCCCTGTAGCCCTATAGCTTTATATCCCTATAGCCCTAATAGCCCTAATATCCTTATATCCCTATAGCCCTATAGCCCCATAGCCCATATAGCTCTATAGCCCCATAGCCCTATAGCCCTATGGCCCTATAGGTCGCAGTCCTATAGCCCTATAGCCCGATAGCCCTATAGCCCTATAGCCCGATAGCCCGATAGCCGTATAGCCCTATAGCCCAATAGCCCAATAGCCCTATAGCCCTATAGTCCTAACAAAAATATGATTGGGTTGTTTCTCCGGTATCATATGGTGACTGCTTCTTCTTGTGAGGTGTACCACTTCATCACGAAGATGATCGATGAGCTCTAAAAGATCAGGTACGCCCTGATCAACATGATCATGGTGACCATGATCAAGTTCAAACGAGTTTCTTGAGGCCCGCGGCCGCGGCCCCGCTCATTGTATGTGTTGTTGCTTCGAACCTAGAGAGTATAATGAGAGTGATATTCCGAAGACTATTTGGAACCTTGGCTCAGATCAAATGTACTAGCAATTCAGAGGTAGTGAGGTGTACAAAGCAGGGTAGCAGCTGGACTGTGATGCCAGAGACCAACCTAATCATACTAGGGCTTAGGGACTTGCGCAGTAAACAATCCAGTCCCTCCCCCTCCCCCATATCCCCCCTCCTCATCCGCACTCTCCTCCCACTCCTCCTCTTCTTCCTCATCCCCGCGATCCCCCATTTTCCCCGCACCCCCCCCCCCATTCCGCCACCCCCCTCCTCCCATCTCCGAGGCGCAAGCCCTCCTCCTCGTCATGCTTGTCTTGCTCGTCCTCCGTCTCCTCCTCCTGCTCGCCCTCCTTGTTCAATTTCTCCTTCCGATTCGTCGTCGTCCTCCTCTTCTTCCTCCTCCTCCTCCTCCTCCTCCTCCTCCTCCTCCTCCTCCTCCTCCTCCTCCTCCTCCTCCTCCCCCGCTCCCAGCGCCTGGGGCCCCCGCCCCTGCCCGAGCCCTGCCCTCCGCGCTGGCCTGCGCCAGCCGGTGCCGGAAGCCCAGCCGCACGGAGGCGTCGAAGTGCGCCTGGTACTTCAGCGTCTCGCAGACCACCTTTTGGCACCATGCAGGACTGTCAGGGCGAAATAGTTACGCTGATTCTCCCCCTCCTCCTCCTCCTCCTCCTCCTCCTCCTCCTCCTCCTCCTCCTCCTCCTCCTCCTCCTCCTCCTCCTCCTCCTCCTCCCCCGCCTTGGGGAAACCACAAGGCACCGATGCCGCTGCCCCCCAGACCTCTCCCGGGGTACGTTCTGACCAGGACTTCGAGGCGAATCCAGCGGTGGCGACGAGGCCGAAAAAGGGAAACACGGGCGAAGATTAGAGGTACCCATCGGTCGGAAGAAGTAGGTCGAAACATGAGGTAGGAAGGCGTTGAAAACAGATTGGGTTCCGTCCGCCCTCTAATGAGGACGGAAAAGGTGAAGCCACTCGATCACTGAAGCAGGAAGGCGCTGAAAGTAGATTAGAATCTGGGGCTCCAGGAGTACCTACTTTCGACGACCAATGGGTATGGGTACCCTTTCCTCCTCTGGCCACCAGCGCCCCAGGAGCCATCGCCTCCGCCAGCGTGCTGCGCTCGCGCCGCGCGCCGAGCTGCTCGGGCATCTCCAGGCGGGGCGGCCGCCGCACGCGCCGGCTGGCCGAGGGGGCCACGGGGTCGGCGCCGGGCGAGAGGCCGAGCTCCTCGAAGAAGGGCACGACGGCCACGGATGGGGGAACGAAGAACGACATGAACATCACAACTCGGAGGTCCGCGCGGATTTCTCGGATCCGCGCTGGACCCCCCTGGCGGCGCCTCCGGCGCCGCCCCTGGCGCGCTCCACGCGCCAGGGAGGGGGGGCCCAGCGCCGATCCGAGAAATCCGCACGGGCCTCCGAATTTAAATATATATATATATATATAGAGAAAAAGATAAATATCGATATATTATTCTTCGCTTCCCCATATGGAGCCCAGGAAGGCGCGGTGGAAGAGGCCGCGGTACCGCGGCTTCTTCAGCACCTCGCCGCGGGGCTGGACCTCAACGTTGCTGTTCGGCTTGTTTTCGTTTTGCTCTACATTGAAGGGGCCCTAGGACACACAAATAAATAGACACAAATAACAGGATTCCCCATATTTTTCCATATTTTTTGGCCCCCCCACTTCCCATATGTTCCCATATTTTCTGGTGAATCGACGATGAATTGTGTCTGTGTGTTTTTTCCCCTCCTGATGCATGTTCTCCTGCACCTCCCTGCCAAAACGAAGAAACAAAACACTGCCGAGGCCCCTCAGAACAGCGTTCGGGTCCCAGCCCTGCCTCGCCGAGGCTGCCCGCGAGGAGAACCACCTCCACGCCGTCGAAGGCCCTGGCCAGCGGCGGCCAGTCCTCCCGCTTCTGGCGCCGTCGCCCGCGGGGCGCCTGCGTCGTCTCCTCTGGCGGCTTCTCCTCCTCCCGCGCCTCCTCTGGGACGCACAGAGACATACTAGTACTATGTGTATATATATACATATACATGTATACATATATATATATATATGTATATATATGTAGCTATAGATATAGATATAGATATAGATATAGATATATAAATATAGATATAGATATATATATATATATATATATATATATATAAATATAGATATAGGTGTTCTCCTTGGAGGCGCGCGTCCGACCTGGACATCTAGTATACCCATCTTGTAGTTCATCGTTTCCCCAGCGCTGTGGCCAGAGAGCGCCCGCCACGACGCATAGACTAGAAGATGTCTCGGTGCGCGCATCGCCCCCCCCGGGGGGCGACGCACATGCAGTATAAATATGTCGGGGCGACGCCGGTCCTCTGCCTTCGCGGTCTGCAGCGTCTCGAGCGGAGACGTGTACGGAAAGACGTGCTCCTCGGGGCGCTCGGGCGGCAGGTGGAAGGCCTGGCCCGTGTCCATCTCGCTGAGGTAGGCCGTGAGGTTGAACTCCGCGATGTCGGTCTCTGTGTGGCGGTACTGGGACCCAGTGATCTTGAACAGCCGAGGCTTGTCCTGTGGGTCCGTCGACGTGCTGAAGGCGTGGTACGGGCTGTTGATGATGTCCCCCCAGAAACCCCGAACCTGGACGGGCGTCCCACGGACACGGTCCATGGCCTCCGTGTAGGAGGCCAGGGTTCGGTTCGGGGAACTGTAGCTTGCCAGCCTCGTCTCGAATGCAACGCCAGAATGGCAGAACTCCTTATAATGAAACCAGTTGATAATGCCAGCGACCTCTTTAATGTTGCTAGTATAATCCCAATCCATTAGATTCTTACGGAAATCGTAGCGATCGCGATAGTAACCACGGCAACGTTGCTCTCTCAAGGCCTCTACGTCAAATGGGACATCAGCGAGCCATCCTTTGAAAATATCCTGCAGCACATCCCTGTCCTTGAACTTCAAGTGGGAAAGGTCAATTATCTGAGCGATGGGGTGGGACGAGTTGTCAGTGATCAGTTCGATAAACTCTTTGGCAATCTCGCCAACGAAAGCACTGTCACGCTCTCGCACCAGAGTGTTGCCGTAGAGGCTGAGGAATACCTCCATCCGCTCCCGAATGGGCAGCGCTGTGTTGTTTACAATCTGCAGAAAGAGCACGTGGCGCGCGAGGGACTCGTGGTGGCTCTCGTGCAGGAAGAAGCGAAGCCGACCGCTGGCCCTCCTGCCCCGCCTGGACACAGTCTTGACCACGTGCCGAATGTCCGCGCCACCGGCGATCAGCACATTCACAACGCCGTCGCCGTCAGGCAAAGAGCAGGGTTCCGGCTCCTCCTCACACGCCTCGCCGGACACAACGACACCGTCGTCGCCGCTGTCTGAAGCCTCCTCGGCGCCATCGGCCGCACTGTCCTCTACGGCCTGCACAGTTGCAGCGTCTGGCTTGGCGGCCTCCTGAGACCGGTTAATCCCGCTGGGAGACGTACCCACCGCCGCTGGGCCGAAGGCCGCCGCCTGGGGGTCCTGGCCGACCAGGTCGAGGGACGGCGAGTTGCCCCAGAACTGCACGAAGCCGACCTTCGAAGACGCCGGCCGTACACCAGCACAGCTCGTGGCCATCGGTGTAAGAGGGCCCCAAGAGGCGCCCAAACAGCCCCAAGAGGCGCCCAAGGGGCCCCCAGGAGGATCCCAAGAGACCCCCAGGAGGCCTCAAGAGGATCCCTGAGGCGCCCAACACGCTCAAAGACGGCCCTGGGCCCGCCAAGATGCCCCAACAGGCGCCCCAAGAGGACTGCAACAAGCTTCCAAGAGACGCCTGCACCGATTCTCTGGGCCCAGGATGGACCCGGCCAGGGTCGGCGCTGGATGTAAGACGAGGACAGGCCGAGGATAACATCGGGCAGGGATAGATCGGGAACCTCTGAGATCTGGTGGCTCTGGAGGAGGTACTGGGCGCCGCGGCCTTCTCAGAGCGTCCCAGAGCGCTCCCAGAGCGTTCCGGGTCGCTCTGGAATGGGTATATCCTCGTCCTAGCTCCACCCAAAGGTGTATAGCTAGGTCGGGCGTGTCTCCCTACAGGCAGATGTTGGACGAAAAATGGGAAAACATACCAGAAAGCACAAAAACAATACCCAACAAAATACTTTGAACATCGTCCCCGTAACATGTGTTTTACCAGTTTTGAATTTTCCTCCTGTAGAGGGACAGGCCCGACTTACAGTCGAAACGTATATTAAGGACGCGTGGTAAGGACGCAAAACCCTTGGAGGCTGAAGTTGGGATTTTTGGGGGCGGCGGCGACCAGTGAAAACGGCGAAGGACGGGCCGCAGAGGCAAGGACTCAAGGGTACCCTAGAGGAAGGCGCGCGTCCTTACTAGGCGCGTTGACTCTAAGTGCACAGTTGGCGTCCCCCCTGAACAACCGCGTCCGTGCCGTCCGAGGCGAAGTCCTGCGGCCTCTGCACATCGCGCGCCACCGAGATGCGCGCCATCGCGGCCACGCGCCAGGAGGGCGGGAGGGCGCAGGAGCGAGGCGCGGCCGGGCACGCAGCTCCGACTGGAGCCACCGGACACGAGGGAGACGGAGGAGGAGGAGGAGGAGGTGGAGGAGGAGGAGGAGGAGGAGGAGGAGGAGGACGGAGGAGGACGGAGGAGGGGGGAGGGAGGAGGAGGAGGAGGAGGAGGAGGAGGAGGAGGAGGAGGAGGAAGAGGAGGAGAAGGAGGACGGGTCGCCTGAGCCCTTCGGAGAAACCCGCCAGTCCGGTGGAGGAGGAGGAGGAGGAGGAGGAGGAGGAGGAGGAGGAGGAGGAGAAGGGGGAGGAGGGGTCGCCTGAGCCCTTCGGAGAAGCCCGCCAGTCCTGCCACGCAGCTCCGACTGGAGCCACGTACACGAAGCGGAGATGCCGGACAGCGGACCTCGGCCAGCATCGTGCACCGGGACGGTGCTGCAGGGCGAGCGCCTGCGATCGATTGAAGGGGCCCTGGGACACACAAATAGATACGCACAACCAAAAAGATTCCCCATAGTTTCTGGGTGTTTGTCTTCCCCCCCTCTGCCCATGTTTTCCCATATTTTCTGGGGGATCGACGATTACCTGTATCTGTGTATTTTTTCCCCTCCTGAGGGCTTCCCATAAGATACCGTTTTTTTCAATCGGCGGTAACCCGGGCTATCGGGGGGGGGGAGGAGGAGGGGGCTGGCCGATAACCTCACCTTCGCGCTGTGGGCAGCCCTGCACATGCCCCGGCGCTCCCCCCACCCTGGACCTGCACAACGGGTAAGGTTAGGCGGCTATCCTGGGGGGGGGGAGGGGGAGCAAGCCCGATAACCTGGGACCCTTAAAAAAGCCTCGAATTCGGAATTACGGGAAGCCCACAGATGGACAGCTGCCCCGCAGGGTGGGGCCGAAGCATCCAACAGTGGCCAGCAGAAGTGGAACAACTGCAGCGCGTGGCGGGAAAGCGTAAACAGCATCGCAAAATGGCAGCATGCATGACAGACGGCTACGCCATAGTCGGGCCTGTCCTCCTACCAGGGGATTTCGAACGAACAAAATACTCAAAGAATACCCCGAGATGGTCAAAAATAGTCGAACAATCGCCCCCAGACTATTTTTGGACTAGTTTTGAATATTCCTCCTGCAGAGGGACGGGCCCGACTTAAGGCTGCGCGGGGCAGAGAGGAGGGACGAAGAGTCGCATGCGGAGGCGGAGGCGGAGGCGCGAAGGGCGGAGGAACCCGGAGGCGCTGCTGCAACGCACGCCCAGCGCGCGAGGCCGTCGGCGGCGTGCCCAGAGGGGAAGCGAGCCGGAGGCCTTTTCGGAAGGCGGCGGGGCTTCTCAGAAGCCCCCCCAGCAGTCTTGGAGGAAGAAGACACGCCATAGACATAAAGACTGTTGGCGCTCCGCGCGGATCTCTGGAACCCGCGCCGGCCCCCCCAAGCGGCAAGTTGCATGTTTGTGGCGTCGCTTTCTCTTCGACCTCTGAGAGGTTATCTACGTTTTCGGGGAAGGCTTCGAAAACATCTCAGGAAGGCCCGAGGCCTCCCGGCGGGCGTTGGCAGAACTGGGTTTAGTGGAACCTGGTTTAATGATCTGTACCGGGGGCGCCCCCATCGCCCCATTTCCACTAACCGGAACTGCCGTCACCCGAAAAAACCCAGTTATGGCAAACCTGGGTTAGTGATTCTGGCCAGTTCGAAGGCTCTGGGGCCCTACCACTAACCGGGTCCCCTTACCCGGTGTCCTGGCCATACCCGATCGCGAGCCTGCCGAGGAGGCCCGAGCCCCCGCTCGCTCCCCCGCCCCCCCCAGCGCGCCGCCGAACCGGCACGAGCCGGCTCGAAGAGAGGAGGCCGCAGGAGGCGGCAGCGAGGCGCGAGAAGGAGAAGGCGGAAGGCGCGTCATCTGCGTCTCGGGCCGAGCGACAAGTTGAGCAGGGACCGACCGTCCCGGCATTCCTATAGTCATACCACGAAATGTTCTTAGAACCAAAAAATGTTCTAAGAACAAAAACAATGTTCTTAGAACATAAACCCGATGTGTTAAAACAAAACAGTCCCAGCCAAAAATGTTCTTAGAACATTTCGTGGAACCAAAAGCGGGACCGCAGAGGGACAGCAGAGGGACAGTCTGCAAAAATCAGCTCGCGCAGCCGACTTCCCCGGCGCCTCCCAGAGCCGCGGGGCGCCCGCGCGTCGAGAAGCGTGCCTTGGCGGCGGGGCCGAAACCGGCTGCACGCAGCAGGTTTCGTCCGCCCCCCTTTCCCTACAGGGCAGTTTTTAATACATAGAATGTTCAAAAAAGATGTTTAATACATGATTAATGTGTGAATAGATTTATGCATGAACTCATCATTGTTTTTAATACTAAATCCCTGCATTTGTAATACATGATCCGCACGCGGAGCATGTATTAAAAACGGCACTGTATCACCCCCTTCCGTTCGGCCCGAGAGTCAGAGTATCGGCGGTGGAAAAACCCTCCCATTAGTAGGCCACCCTTCAATGAAGACGACCCGGGGCCGAGACCGACGGACCTGGACCCGCAAAAACGGCGGCCGCGACGCCCTCTCGCGAAGCGGGAAAGGCCAATTCGCACATCGACGTGTCGGGGCATGAGGTCGATCAACCTCCGAGACTGGCCGCCTCAGCGGGATGATGGTCTGCGGCGGGGGGGGGAGCCGCGAAGCAGCCCCCCCCCACCTCCCGCACACGAACCAGCGCTAGGTCGGGCATGTCCCCCATACAGACGGATTCAGGACGAAAAAATGAGAACAACAAAAATTTCAAAAGGAAAAAAATTAGAAAGTGCTCCGAAATTAGTCCCCACCCTATTCTTTGACTACTTCTGAATACTCCTCCTGTAGAGGTGCATGCCCGACCCAAAACCAGCACCTGGCGCCCCCTCCTTCGCGCCTCCCCCCGCCCGCCCGCGCGCCCCCTGCCACGCCGGAGGGCCGCCCCCCAGGGAGGCAGGAAAGCACGACGAGGCCGAGACTGAGCATCGACACCCGACCTAACTCACGAGAGCAGGAGGAGCCACCATAGAGGGCAGAAAATCCACCCGCACAATAACCACCCCGACACGCGAGGCCGATTAGCAAACGCATCCGAAGAATGAATCAAGCAGGGCAGAACTGTAGAATAAACGCCCAAAACCGTTTAGTAAACGCCAACTGTCCGGTCCGGGTGGTTTTTCCTCCCTTGACACTGTTATCCGACCCCCATTCCCAGCGGCGTGGCCTCAGCCCCACTGGCCGATGTGCCCCCCTTGATAGGGGATATAGGCCGCTCCCTTCGGGTTTCGAGGGATGTATCCCCAACTGGGGTAGTAATTTGGTGGGGGTCTCGAAGGGGAGGAGGATGGGGATGAGGGTCGGTGAAACGATACTGACAATACCACCAGAACTCCATAGAACAAGACAACCTCCCCGAGCAGGTGGCACTCCGCTCTGGACACTCTCTAGGGGGGCGCGCGCGCACTGTCAGAAATTAGATGACTGGCTCCATAGCCAACCGCGTCAGTAGGCAAATGTGGATCCAAATGGCCCGACCCAGAGTGGACCCACGAATCAAGTCCACCACCGGCCAGCTGTGCATCCAGCTGGATTTACCTTGACGGATCCAGCCTGCCAACTGGCTGGTGGACCACGTGGATCTACTTTCTGGACCCCGCTTCCTGGGTCCACTTTTTACTGGATCCGCTTTCTGGGGACCCGCATCCTGAATCCCCTTTTGCTGGATCCACCTTCTGGGAGCCCACATCCTGGATCCACTTCTGCTGGATCCACTTCCTGGCCACGCTTGCTGGATCCGCTTTCTGGGTCCAAGCTGGGTCCGGCAAGCGGGTCCAGCTGACTAGAGTTAGGTCGGGCAGGTCCCCCTACAGTCGGATTTTGAAAGAAAAGTAAGAGTTGGTCAAAAAATACCCCAACACAGCTAAGAAATTGAAGAACATCGTCCCCATGGAATGTTTTGCTAAGGGACAAGCCCGACATAAGACTACGCCACGAAAGTGGATCCAGGACGGATCCATCGGGGAGATCGACCCGCGGGAAGGGGGGGCATCAGCAGGGAGGCCAGAGACTTCCAGGACAAGCGCGCTCCACGACTCGCCGCATGACTGCTCGCAAAAATGGCCTGGACCCGCCGCCGGGGATCTACGAATCCATTATGCGAGGCAGGGATTTGTCCACGTCCACCGCCTGGGAGCCGACACGCTGGTGCCTCGGCGGGCGGTGGATATGGATGTATGTTGGCCCCCGGGGGGCCGAATGTATCCATATCCACTGCCTGTGGAGGTCCGCGAAGGTCGATCCCCAAGGCGGTGGTTGTGGGTAAACTCCCGCCTCGGAATGACACAGAGGAAGACCTGTGCTTTTCGAACGTTTGCGGGCAGGCACTGTGCGACTAGTGCAACGCGCTCAGTGAGTAGATGTTTGCTGGCTGCCGATTATTTTTAACGCAAATTGTGGAACTGATCGCTGGTTGCTGGGAAATGTCATGGGCATATTGAATATCACCCTGGCGGCTGGGAAATTACCAGAAAAAAGGTGCGCTTGCGGCTGGTAAATCCTGGGGCATTCAGAAAATGCGGCCCAACCACACAACTACAAAGTAGAACAGATGCATACATCCACAAGAAATGCAATGTAACATAGTATACACGCCACATATGCATGCTTTCTATATACATATGTATAAATTCATACATCCGTATATACCTACCTACCTACCTACGTACGTATGTACAGATGTACATACATACATGCATGTGCACCTGCATGAATACATACAGACAGACAGACAGACAGACAGACAGACAGACAGACAGACAGACAGACATACATACATGTGTAGATGCGGGTGTATAGATGTGTAGATGTGTGCTTGAAGGACATACGCAAAACTTGATCTCATAATGGATAACATGAAAGTTGGGTAGAAAATATTTGGGGCCAAGTTTGCCAGTGATGGGCCAGATTGTTCAGTGATGGGCTGCTCGACGGCGCGAGTTTTACCCGCGCCGCCGATCAACCCACCACTGGATCCACTTTTTGGGGG